GGGTTCCTCGGATCCAACACCCGCCCGCAACAGGCATGGAAGAAACCAAATTGTCTGCCTAGGCAATTCTTTAACACACCACAGACAATTTTTTTCTGAATCTTTTGATCAAATGGGCTTCTTGTTGGCCTATCTCACGGCTACTACTTGCACGCAATACTAATGCCGTGCGCATGGGTAGCAGGACCATACGAGCTTTTGGCGAGTAAAAACGGCGATTTATTACCACTTTAGTACATGCTTCAGAATTCACACCACTTAGTATGAGCAGTCGCTGTGGGATTTCAGGGGCAACTTTGCGGGATTGATCTCGTACATGTTGGACTGAGCTGCAGCGGAGCCGCTGACCCCCTCGGAACAGTTGAAGGGATGGCGGAGTCTAGAAACACCGCAAGTAAATTTCAAAATCTAGTGCCGTGGCCGCCAAACGCCAGCGTCCTGCCTGGACATGCAACCACGTGCTAGCGAATGTTCGAAAATTTGCGGGTTTGTACAACTTGACGTGGACTTCGCACGGCATGCGTCGAGCCCCCAGCGCCGGAGATAATCGCTAGATGCACTTCAAAAAGGCAGTTGCTCACTAGATAATTCCATCTTACTGTGCAGCTTAAGCAGAGGCAGAAGGATCTGGATGGGGGAATGAAGCATGCGCGTCGCAGCAGACAGTGCGGTAAAGTGTAACTAGTCTCCTGCATTCCGCTCGACAGCCTCACGCTTCTACAGACGTTCTCATACTCTGTTCTTGCACCCCTCACGCTGGAAAAGATGTCCGCACCCTATCTACGGGATCATTCGGTTCATGATGGACAAAAATATGTTTGGTCTGCTTCTATCAGAAAAGCCTGCCCCAGACTTTCTGGGAATCCTTGTACGTCAATCAACAAAAGAAACCATCAGGAATTCTTTATGGCGAAGTTTGACACCGTTTGGCAATCGCATCTGAGGTATTTGTTTGCCTAGCTGCTGTCGGTGCTAGGATGCATGCCATTTTGCATTATAAGAGTGCATCTCAGTTGATATTATTAGCCCACCAGGACACTGTTTGATGTGCATATGCCAAACCAGGTGATGGTAACATATTCCACGAACTGGAGCATGCAACTAAGCACATCCGCGCGTTCTTGGACCACTCGGTAATTGGCTGTACACTTGGTATTGCGTTGCCTGTGACGGCAGCAAAAGGATGCGGCTTCGCTGTTGGTCCTGATATGTGTGTCTGTGTCTTAAGTTACTAGGCTTCAACTGCTCCAAGCCAACTCATTTTGATCTGCGGCTTGCCCGGAACGCCGCACGCAAAATTTCAGCTACGAACAAATGCGCCTTCTGACAGTTGCTGCTGTGCAGACATCCTCAGGGCCTCATAGTATCCCGCTGCGCAGGAAGGGTAGCCTGCGGCAAAGTCATCGACCGTGTTCTCTGGAGGGAAGACGCCTGAACGAAGCGGTTTACCACCCATTCACAGCGTTGATTGCAGGAGGGAGGGTCTCTGAGTCAGCACCACGAGCAACAAAGGCCAAGCTCAGGAACCTATGCTTGCTCTACCCAGCACTGTGTCGTGAGTGCAAGTATTCTTTCTTGACCACGCTACGCCGAAATACGCACAGAGGTGCTACTTCAGGCAGCACGTACTCACCCTGTTTCTGTGTTGAGTCTCCACAAGTCTTGACCGCCTCCACCACAGATGCTGCAACACTTATCGATTGGCTCAGCAGTGTGACGGCCTGCAGCGCATTTGAGCCAATCATGGCAACGCATCGTAGAAGAACCTAAACGTCTGCCAGAGTACTTGCTAGCAACGGAATTATCGCTACTTGCCTGTTTTTTAAATTCGTCGCTGGTGATGGCGTCCATAGCTCTGTCCACCGCCCCCAGCAGAACCACTGCACCCTCGTGCAGTTCTCCGCCTTTGTCATCGCCCGTCCCAGTTGCTTGCGGGAATCCCTCACCAGAAACAAGGCAACTGTCCCCAATTGTCGCAAATGACTGTTCTGCACTGTCACAGGTTCTATGCCCAGGCGATGAGGAGGCCATCGCCATAGCAGCTGCAGCGGCTCCGGAAAACATTTCGCCTACCAACTTCGCCGCCGAAATGAGAGACTGCTCCGGTGACGAGATGCTCACAGCCTTTGCCTGGCAGTGCTCCGCCTGTTGCCTGACAGTAATTTCACTGGCGCCTTCATCGTTAGAGGAGAAACATGACACCTGGGGGAAGCAGCTGTTCTGTGGAAGTGGACGCAGTTCCTCTTGTTCAGGGATAGCCTGCTTTTCTAAAGTACTGTCTGCACTACTTCCCGTTGCAATTCGTAGCGCTCTGCACCCTACAGCAGATGATTGGGTCTGGAAGCTACTGGCCTCCTTACGCTGCCCCGCATGCTTCTTTGGCACTGTTTTGGCTGCTTCGCCTGCCTGTGCTGCGCGTGCTGCAGCTGCAGCTGCACGTTCACCAGCAGCTGCTCTGAGGGCAGCTGCTACTCTGTGGGCCACTGAGCAGCTATGCGGGCTAAGAAGCGCTTGTTGAGTGCCCTGGTGCTGTATGCAAATCGCATCGCATCCAGCCGCCAGCATGTGAGAAGGGACGTGGATGTGTTGCTGTGGCTTCGGACTCCCGTCTTTTGGACGCTGCTCCACCACTGTTATTGATCTCTTTGGCGGAGGCGAGGATAGATCCAGTGAGCATTTCGCTTTGGAGTTTCGGTCTGTTTCCTGGTCTGGGCGGATTTCCCCCTCTTGCACTGGCGGCTCTTCCTGCAGCTCTTCAACCTGTTGCAGCCCCTGGCCTTCAGTGTGCTGCTGAAGATGTTCTGGCTGTGTTTGTCCGATGGCCGACCCTTGTAAGCGAAGGGTGTCGCTGCGTCTCTGAAGTGACTCACCGTTAGTAGAAGTTCCATTGGCAGAGGGATCCCGTGGTACAGCCACCTCCGGAGGTGTTAGACTCGCTCCCTGGGGCTCTGCCGCCGTCGATACCTTCTTCAGAACCTGGATTTGGTTGCTGAGAATCTGAGCATTAAGTTGCTTGTTCCGGCGTGCATTGCTTCCAGCCACCTTGCACGGTAAACATGTTGAGTTGTTGGCCCCCATTTCAACCAAGAATCTCAACCGCAGTTAGCGGGACAGATTAGCGGTCTCCAACTTTCAACCGATGACTGAGTGTCTTGGCTGGCACGGCTAAGTGGAGCTACGCCACCTATCTCGAAAATTGGAAGAGCTGACGAGGCACGGACGACACGGAGGCCGACGCTCTACTGAGAGTGCTGAGCTGCCTCTTTGTCCCCACCAAAAGTAGATCGTCTTCAGACGGTACACGCAAAACCATTATCTATCGTGTCAGTTTGGGTCCATGTCACTTGTACACCCTTGCCTGGCGTAGGGGTGAGCTGGTGAGTGGGGTGGCACCTGGCATGAAGACGTCTCCAACAGCTCGGCTAGTCGTGCAGGCACTACCTTCCCTAATTCAAAAACTATAAGAAATGGCATGAAACAAGGTGTAAGGTAATCTCGGGGAGTTAACTAAGTTGTAGGCGGGTTCTACTAAAGTTCACGTTTCAGGCCGAGGCAGCAGGTGACCAGTGGCTGTAGCAGGGAGACGGAAAGCCTAACAGTTAAAAGGCCCCCTGAAAGATGCAAATGTATTCAGTTTTCACTCATTCACGCATCAGAGAAGCAGCAGGTTTCCACCGCCGCAAGCAAACGGACCGTCAGTGAGCAATACGCCTACACCCATCTCGGCGCACATCACCAGACATTTTAGCTGCTCGCTGCTATCAGCTATTTGCCAGCATGTACCGGTAGTAAATTGCTTGTGCGCATTGTGAACGAAATACGGGTGTTTATAGATGGGAATGTGTGCTTGGGCTGGACTTACCACTTCTTGCAACGGAGAGTGTGCCCGAGTGAGCGAGGTCGCTCCGCTGTGCACCCTATGCGTGAGAGGATGTTATACCTTGAGCCTGCCCAGTAAAATACCGCGGCAAGTGTTAACAAAAGGGAACTGTACTAGCCAGCAAAGGCAACAGGGGTATATTTAGTAGAGTAACTGGTTTTCAGGTCGGACTACGTCGTGAGTTCCGTTCCTGTAGGCTTAGAGAGAAACCAAGAAACCATGAAAGTGCTAAACGGAAGCAGAGGCATTTTTAGAAGAAACAAAATGGGATACAATCTATCAAAAGAGACTCCGTATGACGAAAGTGCTGCTGCAGCTACACCTGCTGACGCTTATGGTGTCTACGTAGGCGCTGGAAACGTTGTACACGCGCTTGTTATTGTTTTCACAACTATGTTCACCGATGCAACAGAAACACCATCAGTCAGCTGTCTCTTTGTACTTCGTGTGAAGCATCATTCGCCTATTCTCCACAGCCAGCGTACGCCAAGCATGCCCCGAAGGCTTTTGCCAATTCTCTGCTGTGGGTACGCTCTAATATTGAAGGCACCAATGCACCCCTGATCCTGTGCACATTCAGAGGAACAGGCGTGTCAAGGCGAATAAGGAAAGCAGCGTCTGCTTGCCAAGCGCGAAAGGTCTTCGCGCCTGGTTCAGTCTTTCGGACTACCAAGACTGTCATGATCTGAAAGTCCACCAACATTTGTATCGAGTCCTACGCCTAGTGTTCGGGCCGATCTTCAAATCCCAAAGAATACTGGCCTTGATTCATCTAGTATGAGAGAAGACAGAACAGCCGGGTATTACTACCGTATGGTCTCACAGCCCTGATGAGTAACGAGCAGCCACTGCAATGTTGCAGTGGCTGCTGCAACTTTGCAGTCGCTGCTCGTTCCGGATAGCTTGAGAGAGGGCAATGCATTTTCAAGGAAGCTGTCTTTCACCGCTGCAACTCAGCTTTGAATGCAAACGAGTCTGCAGCACTAAAAATGAGTCCTGTACGCATTTAGTTTAGACGCTGATGCTGGCAAGGAACTGTATTGGAGTACTCTTTAAATTTCCCGTATGAATAAAAGACCAAATACTCCTAGAATGCGATATCAAGAAGAGTGAAGAGATTTACTGGGAGGCAAAGGAGATCGGTGGTGAAAGGCGCCCTCGGAAATGTCGAAGCGCGCTTGCGCTATACGTGCATATTCCTGGTGAAAAAGTCTAGGTACAGAACTCTGTTAAAGATTAGTGCACCGTTTGAAGACGGTACGTGATAAGAAGAACTGGAACAAAAGCCAAGGAGCCTTCACAAAGTATAAAACTAGACTCCTGAATTCCAGCAACGGGTCCTCAAAGTGAGGTACGACCTGCATGGAGATCAGTCTGTCTCGCGGCCCTACTCTTGATTAGCCTTCAAAGTGAACAGCAAAACTAGGGTTTGCCCCGGCGTCGTAGTAGTAAAATCCGTTTCTTCAACTAATCGCAATGCAGGGTCTCAAGCAAATTATCGCTTCCCTCAAAAATTCAAGATTGTTTGCGGCAAACAAAGAGCTGTTGCTATTCGACCGACTCACAAAGTTTTGAGAAGAGTTTACTGCCATCGTGGGCGGAGGGGGCTCAGGCTAGGAGGGTACTGACAGATGGACACTGTTAGCTTTCGCTGAAGGGATGCTCTGAGCCATGTAAAAAGTTTCTATCTATAGGCCGCGTAAAGCATCTAACCATCCAGTGCATAATAAAACTTCCCACATCACTTCAGGAACACTAGCCTGGCCAGCCCTCACAAATAGGGGATCTGGAACTCGTGAGGCAGTGTTTTGTTAATTCCACTCAGGATCTCCACTTGTTCGCACCTAGGGAGTCCCCAGATATTCGTAAGAACATTGCTGTCCTTTCTTAGAGCCTCTGCTCTATTGACGCATTCCTCAATAGCGATCGCTTGAGCGTCCTTTCCTACTGCAGGCTCCGGAGCATCTATTCCGGCTGCTTCCTGCCTTTTGACGCTTACCTGCAAACGCACGAATGCACCGGCAACTTCATGGCAATGAGCCTCCAAGCGAAAGGGAAGGCAGCGGCTGCACTCGCAAAGTTTTTCCAGACACATCAAATCACCTGCTCTTCAAACTTGCTGGGAAAAACCGTAAGTGACCTCTGGTGAGCACCAGGTGGCCAAAGCGCGCCTGCAGCTACAGTGGAAAGCTCAGAGAAGCTGCCACGGAGAGGGGGAATTTCAGCAAACGGTGGCAATATATTCTTGGCAGTATAGTTTGCGTCCGCATTCGCAGCTGCCTGAAACACACAATACACCCCCGCCCATCTTTCCACTGAGCAAGTTCCGCAATACTAAAACTGAAAAATAAGGACCGTACGACATGTTGGTGCGCGAACTAGCGGCCAAAGCAGGGGTAGTGTAGTTGATCAGGCAAATGAAGACGTGCCTTGGTAAAGTGGGAAGTTACAAGAAGGTGGGTCAACAGACTCAGACGCTGGAGCACAACCGCTGATTTCAGGGTTGGGACAACGATACGCTTTTTTCGCCTGTGCGCACCTGCAAGAAAGTGTAAGCGAGATCAGTCTCCACAATAGGAGGCAGTTGCATACAGGCGCTTGAATAGGGAGCGACGGATGCAACGAAACGCCAAGCTAGGGTGGCCAAGCTATTTGGATCTTCGGGTGGCAAAATGGCGACATTATCCAAAGCTTCATAAATTCCCTGCGATCGTGACCTCATGATCACCGAGGTTTCCGCATCATCTAACACATGGATAGACGACGGCGTGCACCGCACCCAGGGTTTATCGTCGATTAGTGGTGGAGCTGCTTCTAGGAGAGACTGAAGCAGATCTGTGTCAGTGACTTCTAACCCGCCCGTGCATGTTATTACTTCCTCTTCCTTGAGGCGAAAAACATCAGCATCAAGCTTGGATAATGGTAATAACGGTGCGCTGTGCTGCATGCAGATAAACAGTTCTGCGACATTAAGGTTCTCCTTTCCCCAGAAGTCTGGGCCTGGAATGTTCTGCCATTCCCATTCCCCGTTGCTGTCCGCGGAAAGCGACAATCTGGGAGGGACAATCTGGACTTTCCATCTGTTTTCGTCACTGGAACTGTATGAGTCTTGTCCCTGTAGAACTGTACGGGTTTCTGCAAAGCCCGCCATTGCTGAGCCCTCTTCTCCGCTTGGAGCTGACAATGCAGTATTGCCTTGATACCTGGAAAGGTTATTTACCAAGCTGCCACCTTGCTGTGAAGTGTCAGGGTGGCTTGAAGTGCCCTGCTGGCATCGCTTTTCAAAATTCCGCTCTTGCTCACGCCGGGAGTTATTCGCGCAATTCGACTGGCTTTTCTGCTGTGGTTTGTCCTGAACTCTGCCTTCATTCGTTTCTTCCCTCAAAGCGTGAGAGCGAATCCATGAACGTATTGCCTCCAAGCGTCTCGCTATCCTTGCGCGGAGAACGACTGTGGCTGCTGCTTGGTGAAACCTGGTGGCGAGTTCACTTCTCCACAGCTGTCGTAGCATTGGCCCATTGTCTTCCGAGCAAGATGTAGTGTCTGAAGTGTTCTGGAAGGCTGCTCGGGACGGGGCAACAGGGGCACCTGCATATGTACAGCTGCTGCGGCTTCTGTCTTGAATTTGCAAGAGCCGTATCATTCGTTGGGCCTCTTCTGCTCTCTTCAGTTGAATTTTTTGAACAGCGGCATCGGATGGGAGGGCAGCGCCTTTAACTGTGTGCGTTCCGAGCTTTTGGGCTCTAAGAACAGCCACCAATTCAGCCCACCGTTCGTCCAAGGACTGCTTAGAAACATCGCCCTCGCCGCACTTGTTGCCATCAAAGCGTTGAATTACGTTGGCAGCGGCAACAATGTAATTTCCTCCTTTGCTAGTGCATTCCTTTCTTCGTGAAGGACCCTTCAAGTGGTACGGGGCGGATGCGTGAGGTGTCGTCCCCGCTGTCAAGTCAATACTGTATGTACCACATGACCACTCCACGCAACTTTCTGGCGCCATTTGCTCCCCTCTGTTTCTATCCCTCGGAGAAATATCTGCTGACTGCCCGAGGGGCTGACCACAGTTGATTTCTTCTGCCGAGTTGGTTGAGGCGTGCTTCTCCTCACCTTTAGAGGGATCCAGCTGGGGCGAGCTCTCTAACATTTTGCAGCTGTTTCTACTAATCAATAAGCTCTGTCCAGCAATATGTAAGGGCACACCATTCCCTAATAGTGTCACTCGATGGGGGGTGTTGTTAGGACCGAGCAATACCAGTAAATCTTCTGTATATTCTGCGTGGAGGCGGGGAGCAAACTGGAGCCAAAGAGTTGCAGGCTCCCGAGTGCCAATGACGCCCTTCTGCGGCTTCACGGAAAACGCTCTAGTCCTTTTCGTTAGTTCTACTGTAAACTCTAGAGGTGCCCACAGAGCAGGAGGCAGGACCAGGCGCCGTTGTCTCACTGACCCTACCTTAGTAGGGCCGAAGTCCAGACGCGATACTATTGACAATGGCGCAAATCCCCCATTCTTTTGACACTCATACTTCCCGTTGGATTCGGCTGTCGAAGATGCAACATGATTCTCCACACCCACTCTGCAGTGCCATACAGCTCGTACAGGAATGCGCTTCAGAACAAGCGAGTCCTGGAATCGTCTACCCTGGTAACTATGCAGTCTGTTATATGCAGCTGTCGAATGTTCTATTGAACGAATGGAAACGACCACTTTAATGAAATCTGATTGGGGCTCGCACACATCTGCGCAGAAGGAAATCTGCACGCGCTGTTGCATGCCAGCACAAAGAAAAGGTTTCTTGCGTGGGCACGCTACAGAGAATGCCTTTGATAGAGTGGGAAGCACAACAAATGAAACCGTGTAATTGCTCACATTTTGCAACACAATTTCCTGCCTCAGTGGCTTCATGGCTTCTAACGAAGAATGGTCGGTGCAATCGAGTTGGAACTCGAGGCGCTCAGGAGTAGCCCTAAGCACACCATTCTCTTCTTCAAGTGGGAATGCAAGGAATGATTCTTCCTGGTGTATGTGATGAGATGCGTTGGGATTCCGTTTATAGTGGATATTTGTTTTTTCTGCAGCGGGCACAGGGTGCGGGAAGTTGAAGCGTTCGAAGCGCTTCGCGCCAGCGAATGAAGTCTCACGGTGAAGTGGCGTGGATCGACGGGCATGCTGACGAACATTGTTGCTGGCTTGCAACGAAGTCTTTCGGGTAGATCTGTACTTAATGTGTTCTTTCTCGTCTGGTGTTTCCGGGGGTCCGTCGGAGTCTGAGCTTGGCGTGGCCATTGGGCTGCTTCTGCGCGTCTACACACCGTCGTCGATCACGACCTAGTCTCTGCTTTGCAGTACTTCCTGTGTTTTCATGATCAGTCTGTAATAAATCTGACTAATCCGCATTAACGTTTCTTACCCTCGTCGTTTGCATTCCAGTACAGACAGCATGTGGACTCAACAAGAAGCTACGACGGGAAGTAGGCATTCAAAGGAGCCTCCCGAAGATCATTTTTGCCAATTACCCTCTTCGTAACCAAGCTTTCAACGAAAAACAAGAGATTTTTAAATTTGTTAAGCTAATGCCTTAACGGTGGTGTGCACCTGTTTGCCAGCCCCATCTACACTCAACTGGGGAACGGAATCCGATCGGTAGTTACGGTGGAGCGTGCTCATCCCTGAAGTGCCAACTGAGCTGCAAACCAGCATTGTAATTTCGTAGCCTATGGAGTATATTTCAAGCCAGCTGTCAATGGTACAACGCAAAGTGCAGGTATTCACTGAGAGCAAGTCTTTGCCATCAGTGCCCTGGGTATACTTGTGACGCCAGACTAAACTATCTTCACATTTTGCCTTCCCAGTGCAGCCTAACACCCTGAAACGGTGAATGTTACTTCAAAATAGAGCGAGACGGGACTCGAACCCGCAACCTCCGCCTCCGGAGGGCGACGCGCTATCCATTGCGCCACTCACTCAGTCCGCGTCGGTAAAACTTGTACGTGATCCTTTTGTTTGTCCAACTTCGAAAGGTTTCCTCTCCCAAAAGTGATGTTTCCTTCCTTGGCCCATTTTTGGAACGTCATGTGCGTCATGTGAAACAGAAACACTAAATACTGAGGACCTGTGGCACACACCGACTGACTGGACAGATCAATCTTGAAAAATCAGTAGAGGCCGTAAACTTTCTTCATAGAAAACGGCAGGTTTACTGGTGAAAAAAATGCTTCATATTTGTGTGTAGAGTAGTGCATCTGCACGCATTTCTAGCTGGGCTGTTCGTTTCCGAGTCCCTGCAATCAATTTTAATGGTCGAGATTGGCATTCTGGAAGTGGCATGCGTGCCAAGCCTATCGAGGAAGAGGAAGCTGGTTTCGGAATTGCTGGTTCGTTCTACGGGAAGACCTCGGCCAGTGAAGGACTATCTTGAGCTGTGACGGAGCGAAAATGTTTGCTGCAGTAGTTCCTAGAATACAGCTGGGCCCCTCTACTGCGTCTAGACGTCCTAAGCACAGCCGCAAAAACCCTATGGCCGATGCGGGAAGAAGGCGGCCTGTCTTGGGTTTGACAAATGACTGTTGCAACAGCGCAGATCCCCATGCATGCGTATCCAAGCATTATAATGCAGGCGCTTATTCTGTAGGTATTACGATATTTATTAAACGCTTACTTGGTCATTATTACCCTGCACGCAAGTAAAAATACAGGCACCATCTCCAGTGTTTCAAGCTTTCAAATGCTGGCATTTCATGCACTCAAGGGCGAATTCCTCCATTGTGAAATGCATTGTAAGGCTCCCGAAAACCAAGCAATCCATTCAAATGCTCTTTTGACTGCTGCCACGTTACATCTCTTACCACACCATGTTGTCGCCTTTGGTGCGGTGCTGAATATTCCTCCCACTGTAGAGCTTAGCGTGGATCTCCGTCCCACGAATGCCTTAGGAATACGGGCAAGGCAACTTCGAGGGGAAAGTGGGAGCATTCCACGAGAGCGCATTTTTTAAAGTGTAGCCTGCTCTAGAGGGTACATGGGGAGTGAATCAGTGGCAATGTTGGTTATGCTCTAGCATAAGCTCTCGCCAGAGATGGCAACCTTTGGAAGCTGAGTTGGAAAAGGAAATATTTCCCATGTGAGCACCGTTGAAGTCTCCACAACACCACCGTAGTCGCGTAGCGCACTTTCTGATACGCGGGGCGCTGTTGTTCACATGCTGCAAGGTCGTATGAGTAGCAGGAGATTAGCTGGTGGTTTTTCCAGTGGTTTTTCAGTTAGCAGATCTCCGACCGTTTTGGCTGTGGAATGTACTGCAAGAATATTAGGCTTAGACTAAGTGGACAGAGCGAGTCAGGCTGATCACGAAGCTCTCGAGAGCCTCGCCTTCGGTCTCTGCCCCAAAAACTATGCTAGTCGCACTTAAGTAAATGTCTATGAAGACAGGAAACGGCGGTATAAAGGATTAGGCAGTGAAGCTGCACCAGCACAATGAAACAGAGGAACGTCTGAAACTGCGTTCAAGCGTGCAGGGGCAAACAACCTCTCTGGATGGCTTTATTTTCTCCGAATGGCTTAGCTCCTGTTGCATGGAAGCGGAAATCTGGAAGACTAATGAATGGAAAAGAAAACAGATCGTTTTGTGTCTTTTCTTGCGATATCTCCCAGTCAGGAGCTCCCGTGGACACCGAAGTTGTTTCATGTATTGGAGGATACTCCAAGCGCAAGCATGCCATCGTTGAATATAACCACTCGCACCTTATTGAGTGCATCCACCTAATCATAAGCAAAAAGCAACTAGGCAAGGATGGCTTTGGGGGGCTCAAGCGGCGTACAGATCTACTCTTGACGGCGAACGCGGTGGTCAAAACGCAGTCTTGAGCCTTTCACTGGGAACCAACCAATTGAACGAATGGTACTTTTTACAAGCCGCTGAGTGCGGAAATCGGACACGCAGTTTGTCCTTCCATGGCATGGAAATGCACAGCATATTCTGCTTGCCAGCCGCATCCTTGGCAGTACAGAGCTTTCCCAGAAACCCCTAGTGTATTGCGACTAGAAAGTGAGAAATTTATTGTTTGGAGCCTATGATAATTATTCTATTTGCGTGCGTTTCTGCTGTTCCCAACGGGCTATTTGGGTGGAATTCTCTAGGATCAATACCGTCTTACTACTTTCTGGGCGGGATGCATGCACTTCTCCTTCGCTCCCAACACCGCTGGGCTGCGTCCTTCTAGTTCGGTCAGCTCTTTCCTCTTGGGCCGCTTAACCCAGTTCTCCTGCTGTAGATGGTGAAAAGGCTGTCGAAAGCTCGGAGTAGCGCATACTCTCACTGCAAACCTAACCGAATAAACTGTTATGTGAAGGTGAATGCTTGTCCTGCATCGAATCACCCTTTGTATGCTTAGGGAAATGCGGCAGGGGACTGGCAAGAAAAGCCCCCAGTCGTGATAGTACGGACCAGTTCTAAGTGGATTCTACGTATTAAGCGAAGGGATTTAAATTGCGGCGTGCTCGCCTTCCATGCCATCTATTAAGGCTAGAAGCAAGCACTGAGCTCAGGGATGCACTGAAAGGCTCTGCCTACATGTCGTAGCTCATGATACTCGGTCCACTTCACACGTTGTCTCAACTGGAACTGGAAACCTTTGGATGTCAAATGCAATGGTGAAAAGCGCGCACATGAGTCAAAGAGGCGCTGCCGATGTGATCGCCACACCATCCGGGCAATCCCTGTTCCACCTTTTTTGTGGGAGGCACGGTATAGTGAATTCTCACGACAAGCACGGCTTCAACTGCAAGCCTTGCAGTTGTACCGTTCCCCTGCTGCCGCTTGTTTCCCGTAGCGTGGCCTGTCCGATGTGGGTACATACGTTTCTTCTGAAGTCATGACTAGAGACTAACGACCACGTAAGTGTACTGAAAAGCTATCTGCGGTGTCATCACATGCAGAAAGAGGGCTTTGTTACGCTTGCACGCGGGGTTGTCTGGCGAGATTAGCTGCGGGGACGCGTTGCAACTCATATCAGGTCGTCACCTCTCGCCCATCGAAAGGCACTTGCATTCCTGTTCCCAGGACGGCTGAAGGCTGCAAAGAAGTGGAGTTGGTTTTGAAAAAAAAACGTTTGCAAGTTCTTTGAACTTATTCCAGCTCGAAGTGGACC